CCCCAGAAGAAGGTTAACCCCTGCGCCTGTCCTAAGGTATCCTATTATCTGGGAATTATTGGCTAAAAATTTTTACCCGGAGTCTGTAATAGGTCTCTGGACTGTTACCTCATGACACACAATGAAGGGGTGTCCTTGTTTGAATTCAGGGACCGAGACGGAATCAATTTTGGCTCTGAGGCTGGTGAATGGAGGTGACCGGTGTCAGGGCCGCGTGGAAGTGCTGTACCAGGGCTCATGGGGCACCGTGTGTGATGACGGATGGAATACCAATGATGCCAACGTGGTGTGCAGGCAACTGGATTGCGGCTTGGCCTGGTTGGCTCCAGGAGGTGCCCGGTTCGGGCAGGGCTCAGGGCCGATTTTCCTGGATGACGTGAGCTGCTCAGGGCATGAGTCCCACCTGTGGAACTGCCCGCACAGAGGCTGGAACTCTCACAATTGTAACCACGGGGAGGACGCCGGTGTCGTCTGCTCAGGTGGGCCTCAAAGATCACCGGACCTCCTTTTGGGGTGATGTTGCTGGGGACAGACACACTTCCCACTTAGCATCCCTCACCCAAGCCTCATAGGGTCGTCCTGGGACCTATTATTTACCTCAGGGTTGATGGCAGCCACAATACATTCACAAGCTCTACTTGAGGGTACAACTCAGTTAGCACCAGAGTCAGGCATCCTGCAATTGGGTCAGGTGACTGTGGCACCGTGTTCATATAAGGTTAAGCTTCCAGAGGGCAGAGCAGGGTGCCTTTTCACTTAGCCACAGCAGTGTGAGCTTATCTACCAAACTAGATTTCATCTGGGGCATTCCTCTCAGGGCAGCTTCCTTTGTGATGGCCCGAGAGGTTAGTGGGCAGCTCCCCTCTCAGATGGCTTTATTCCTTTGTGCTCTCCCAGCTGCCTGTGCAGAGGAGAGGATGCTAGAGCATCACAGCATCATGTTAATTATCCAACAAAATGACGAGAGGTCGGAGAAGGGTAAAATGTGAGCTGTCAAGTGACCTGTGAATGGACTGCTAACAAGCCACTTAGGACCTTGGCGAGTGTGGCATGAGTCTTGGGGTAAAAACAAGGAACCCTAAGACAGCCTCAATGTCATCGACCTCAAAGCGGAAGAGTTGGGGTCTAACTGAAATTATTTATTCGGACCATTCTCTGATAAATCCTTGTTGTCAAGCAGAGGCTATGGTGCCAGAAGTGGCACTGAGTTTCCTAATCAGGAACCTGAGCCTTCAGGCTCAGTGAGGCAAGCGCAGGCAGTGGACAGAGGACAGGGATGCTCTGGCAGGTACTGGCAGCGTCCACGCACAGGGCACGTAAGATGCAAGAGCTCGGTATATAAAGGCTGAGTGTCTTCTACCTTGATTCTGGGGCAGGGGTGGGAGGGCTTCGTGTCTGAGTTTCCTTCTCTTCCCCACAGGTGCTCAGCCCCAGTACACATTCGCGCCAGGTGAGTCCCGGGCATCCTTACTCAGGATGTCCCTGCACTAGCTGCCTACCCCACACACTGTGATGGACCAACTGCTCTTGGAGGCAGGCACCCAGGGGTGCAGGTATTTGGCCCCTGGTCCCTGAGAATGAAGGCAGTGCTCCTGAATTAGACATGGAACTTCCAGCCTCCACCCCATCCTGCATCCAGCTGAGTTTTCACCCAGTGCTTTGATACTGTTCCATGTGATTGGCATGTCAGGTCAGGGAGGCGGCTTTGTGTGCCATGAACTTTGGCCCTGTATGAAGTGGCGCTGAGAAGAATGCAGCAGGAGAATAGCCGTCAATAACCCCTGAGCTTTGCTGATTGGACATGAGACTAGGGTGGCTTCTGTCCCTCTCTCAAAGCTTGCCACACCCTGAGATTCAGCAGGGTCACACGTGCATCCAAAACTGGCAAGACAGTGTCCAGGGAAAGGCAGGATAACGAGGGATTTTGTACCCGTGAGTCCAGGACACGTGATTGGCTCCTGGTCAAATCACCATGACTCTTTCTGTCAGTGTTTCAGAGCCTGGGCACTCCCTCAGACCTGCCAGTGAGTTAGCTCACAGCTCAGTTGAGGGCCTTCCTCCCCTAGATGACCTAGCTGAGCAGGCGTCTTTGGCCCCACGCACAGGCAAGAAGTGGCAGGATACACATGTGCGATTGTCATGATGCCCACCGACAATTTCTTCCATGACATCTTTCGGTGAGGCTTAACTCTGGTGCTTGACTTTGTTGCCACTTCCAGATACCTGGCCCTCCACATCCACACCTGAAGCGACAGCGCCAACCACAACAGGTGAATTTCCCTCCCCATCCTCCCATGGGCTCACTCTCTGCATGTGAAGATAGGATGGTGTTGAGTGTGACAGGAGGAG